ATCAGAGAATCTATAAGCAGTTCCAGTAGTGGCAAGAAGCTATCAAAGAGCCATTTCTACTGCTGTAGTATCTTACCATCCATTTCAAACCCAGTGGAAATGGCCATTCCAATGATTGACCACTCCACAGATGTTCCAGGGAAATATGGCTATGGTGACAGGCTCATGACTTGGTGGTTCAAAGTGCTGCATTGGATATGGTATGAGTGTGGCTGCAGCACACTGTACAGTTGGTTCCCATGCTTCTGAAGCCTCTGAAGCATCACACTGGCATAGGTAATGCCCAGACTTGTTCTCTTGGATCTCCCTGTGCCAGGTGTGTAGTTATGCCTGTAGACACTGTACAGTACTGAATATACTTTGGATCTTCTCTCCCAGTTGTGTGATTGAGCCACAGCCTCCAGAGGTTGCCCTTACAGCATTGTTACAATTCTTTCTGTCAGGATGAGAGTTTGACTCGTTCTGGATGGCTGGACTGAAGTTTAATAGTGGACAGTAGATGGCATACTGGATGGTGCATTCAGAGGGGCAATTGGATCAAACATTAATGGTCAATCAATGACCATGCTAGTTTGACCAACAAACAATCCAAGGAAAAGCCCTATCCTTTGCACAGGTAAGATATTCATCAAGTTCATCCTCCCTAGGCATCATTCCACCTCCTTTGGAATGCCATAATTTCAAGCAAGCTTATCATGACAGACATGATCTGCCTTGAAGTTTCCATCCATCATTGATGAGCAATTGAACTTTCATGGAACTACATCTTCTTCCCAGTTTTATGGAATATCCACTACTGCTTGAGGGCAAGTGGGACAGAATATTGCAAGTTCACTATGCTCTGGTGCCATTAGTTCTTTTATCTCATCATGTCAAAAACCTGCCCATTTCAATTATTTCAACTACCACTATAAACAAAAAAGTTCTTGTATTTCATGATAGAGGTTATCTACTTCACCTGAAGAAGCAATTGATGAAGGCACTCCTCATGAGCTTCTGCCAATACTGATAAGCAGAGGCTTTGCACTCCAAAGTAGTCAGATAGAAATCATCTAGAATAACTGTTGTAAAATATGTCCTTGTTCAGTCAAATGTGCTAGGAATCAGCTGTGAGTGAATGACATCCTTGACCCAGACATCTTGACCAGAACACTTGCATGCAACAGCACTGATGTAGTGCACACCAGTCATGTGTACCATGTGTGCAATCAGGCTTGCTTTGGGGTTTCCAAAGCAATCAATTCTCTGAATACAGCACCCATATGTGGATGGCAGATTGAAACCAGCAGTGGCTTCACAGGGAGGAAGTCCATCAACATGTTCAGTATGATGATCCTCATCTGTTGTGGTCCATGTGATGGAACATCTTCTATTGGTACTTTTTCAAATGGCAGTTCTTCACAAGCCATGGTGTCATTGTCCTCTAGCTCCTGTTGCTCCTCATCTAGTATCTGAATTCTAGCCAGAATTCTGGCATATGAGGTAGGCATGGATGAATTTGACAGATTTGACACCAGATCCATGGACAAAACCTCTACATCCACTGGCAAAAGCTGCTTCTCCTGCTGCAGCAACTGATCAGACAGCAGATCTGCCACCTTGTGTAATGGATTCACTGATAAAAACTGCATTTCTGCCAGTGGACCTGGTGCCAGAAACATGTTTCTATTGATCCCTATTTCTACATCAACATCAAATTGTTTCATCATGACCTGTATTGTTTGATTTCAGTATGCCTGATAGCGCTGTGGCAATATTGATATACTCTAGGTGGATTGCAGAAAGTCTTGCTCCTTAATGTCATTTTTTTGTCCATAGTGCTCAGGAACCAAGTCATGCCACCATGACAATTGTGAATTGCATGGTGGGGAACATGAAATAGCCACCTGCATCAGACAAGTCCATGGCTTGGAAGTACATTACTTACCATTCCATATCTCTGGTCAGTGAAGTGGGTTGGACTGGTGTGTTTGGCATAAACACCTACAACAAAAAACTCTCAATCCAATACAATAACAGCATTGCCATTGTGCAAGATGATTGTCTTATTTAATGTTGGATGGAAGTGCTGAGGTATTTGCAGTGTTGATGGATGTGAATGCAATAAGTCTTGACAATCTTCCCCTTCTGAAGGAATCAATGTGTCCTTCCAACTCTTGGACAATTGCTTGGTCACTCCCATCTGGTATAATAGGTGAATTTGTTATTGTTTCTGAAGCTGTATCCCTGCCAGCTCCTGGGATAGAAGTCAAATGGGTAAATGATATTGACGTTTATTCTACACTCAATTGCTGGGTTCAACCTTCATTGGAACTTATGAGTTGAATAATATGATGAATGCATTTCCGATAAGACCAAATGAAAAATGTGAGAACTAGCTTTAGGCTGGAATAACCGTTGAGCTAATAAAATGAGGAAAAAAACGTCGAGATGGATGTTCTAACAGGACTCAGTTTCCATCTGCATTCCCTCCTCAGGCAAGCACGTGATCATCTAAAAACTTGGTCTTTACTCCAATTGATACTAGTGACACGCTCTACCACTGACTAAGAGGGACATATCTAAATTTCAAAAGCATTTGATAATGTGAACAGCTTTGAGTGACAATACAAATCTCCTTCACAAACCTTGTCTTCATACAATGCACAGTCCCTCCAAGCCTGAGGAGATCCCGCAGAGACAAAAGCCACGCAACCTGTCAACGAAAACAATAACAACGAGGAGGCTCGGGAGGTTCATTTCCCTCTCACATAAAAAGAAGGATTTTACCGAATTGAAGGTGAATTCCCTCTAGCCGACTTGAACGACTGACCTCGTCATAATACATCAAACTCGAAGTTTCGGGATATACTAGTGACGCGCTCTACCACTGAGCTAAGAGGGATAGATACTCCGTTCGTTGTTTGTGCATACTGATTCGTCCTCACCCTCACACACTCGTCTAATAAGCACGATATATAGACAAGCCTGAGTTCGATCGATTGAATCATTGGGTATGATTGATTATCTAGTGCTTAGTATCCATCGATCGTAATAATTCCAATCCAGTCTACCGGCAATAAGATACGAGATTGTCATCACTTACTTACTTCTTTCTACTAAGATTATGTATTGTCCAACAGAATATGTATGTACACTATAACACAGAAGGAGGATAAGAGGGTAGGGTAAGGGTAAACCATAAGTATTGGTGTGAGTGTACTTCAGAGAGGGAAAGAGGAGAGAGAAAGAGCATAATATACGATACGACCCCAGCTCGGTCATGTCCATCCATACCGTCCATCTCGCCTTCTAATGCACTCGTCGAACTTCTTACCTCTGCTCTAACCCGCGTCGCCCCGAACTCCCCGCACCCCCTACATAACAACACAATCCTTATCCTTCCCCCCCTTCAAATCCTGCTCGTCCCCACGGCGCAGCACTGCCCCTGGCCCACCAGGCAGCGGCTGATTAAGCTGTCCCTTGAGCCTCTGCGCCGCGCGCTTATCGCCTTTATCGGCGGCGCGTTTGTACCACGACACAGCGCTGCGCAGAGAGGGTTGATTAGATCAGATATTTAGAAAATTGAATGAAAGAGGGGCGAGTGATGAAAACTCACTCGGGCATATTGACAGGCGTACCGATGCCGACCTCGTAAAAGTACCCTACGGCATACATGGCTTTGGCGAGGCCGCCTTCTGCGGCTTTCTGTGCCCAGAGGAAGGCTTCGGTGTCTGATTGGGGAAGTACACCGGGTGAGCCGACGAGGTACCATGCGGTGAGGGCGAAGCAGGCGTCGCGGTGGTTTTGCTGGGCTGCAATGTTCTGGATAGAGTTTAGATGGATGATGCAGATAGAAACAAGGTCAACGCACGTAATAGTGTATAGACAACGCTGCATCTTGCGGACACCCCATCTTTCCATACTCATAACACTCGCCGAGCCTATACGCACTCGGCGCATACCCCAGCTCCGCAGCCTGCGCCAACAGCTCGATCGAGTACTCAAAATCCACAAAAAGGACATTATCTATCCCCCTCTCGTGCAATAACGCGAGCTCATGCATCGCATGGGGGAACTCTGCGCTGGCATTCTCCGCACTGCGCTTGAGCCACTTGACGCCCTCCTTCGGACTCCTGGTGAGCCCCAGCTCGCCATTGAGCTCGGCAATACCGAGGCGGTACATCGCGCCGGGGTGGAGGGCCGCACTGGCCTTGCGGAAGAATGTGAGAGCCTTTGCGGACTCCCGGCGGCACCCCCAGCCGTTCTCACAGCACGTCCCGGCGCGGTACGCGGCATCCGCATGGCCGTGCTTCGCAGCGAGTACGAAGAGGGGGTACGCGCGGTCAAAGTCCTGCTTTCCCTTGGCGGTACCGATGCCGTTGGCGTAGCAGTCGGCGAGGAAGTACTGCGAAGAGGGGTGGCCGCGGTCGGCGAGGCGCTTGAGGAGGGCGGTGGCTTCCTTGACGAGGTCCTCGCGCTTCTCGAGGGCTTTCTCGACGACGAGGAGGTTGCCGGGCGTGGAGGGCGGGATGGGGAGGGATTTGGAGGCATCGATCATGAATACGGCAAATTCGAACTGGAGGTCAGGGTCTTGCGTCTTTTTGGCGTTGGCACGGTAGAGCTCGAGGGTGCGCTCGTGGGAGAGGAGGGCGGCTTGCTTGCCGGGGCGGAGGTGGGAATGGTCGAGGATGGGCCCTGCGGCTGGCGGCGAGGGGGCGCGGATGGAGTTGGTGGCTTGCGAGGACGGCGGGAGCGGAGGGTCGTGCTGGAAAGACGGCTGATGGTGCAGGCCGCGGCTGGGCGAGCCGTTGAAGAAGTCGTCGTGGTCGTCCTCGGGCTCGTCGTCGTAGTCGTCCTCGACGTCCCACGCAGTCCCAGACGACAGCTCGGGGCGGTACTCGGCCTGCGCTCGTGCGGCTGCCATCGTGGTCCTGGTCAAGAGCCGCCTGCCGCCCGAGCCGCCCTTTCTCACACTCAGCACCGATTTGAGCAGAGGTGCATCAGCCCCAAGACATCAATCCCTCTTAGCTCAGTGGTAGAGCGCGTCACTCGTATTTGGTGTGTTCATGACGAGGTCAGTCGTTCAAGTCGGCTAGGGGGAATCAGCAGTAGTAATACATTTTTGCTGTTTCACACAACACAACGCCTAGTTTACGGATTGACAATCAATACAAGTAACTTGTTAACAGCTGATGAAAAAATCAAACTTGTATTAATTGAGCGTCGCCAGCAGGATTTGAACCTACGCCCTCAAAGAGGAACAGATAATGAAACGTTCAAATCTGTCGCCGTAACCACTTGGCTATGACGACTGCCCGTTTTTCTCCAAAAGTTTCTCCATCTCGAGAAACCAGCATAGGACAAATCAGACTTGGAAATACAATCCTGTTACAGTTAAAACAAAGTTCCAATGAAAGAACTTAGACTTGTGATGATGCAGATGGAAAATGAACCCTTAACCTCGATGGTCTCTTTCTAGGTCAGTCAAACTCAGTTTATGTGATTACAATGGTATTTCTCAAGGGTTGCAACTTTGATTCATTTATTCATCTTATCACAAACCACATTCATCAGGCTTGGCCATATTTACACTGAATGAGTTCAAACACAGACTATGCAACCACCTCACAGCAAAGGTTAACTCAAGCTGATTAATTACACTGTCCAACTTGATGGAGGATCAAATGCAGACCAAACAAACTCAGCCCCTATTACTCCAACCAGGTCAGATACACTATTGCATCAGCAAAAAGGCTGTTTGAAGATATAGTTATACATGGCATGGGACCCAGTCATGATGGCTAGGTGTTAGGCAGTCTAACAAGGATCACATCAAAATGAGCAAATTCCAAATGAATCTCCAGAATGTAAGGCCCCAAATAAATATCAGACATGTTGAAACTCCAACATCATAAAGATAAAGGAATTCCTAGTTGACCATAAGCTGATATATTGTTACTAGGTCATAACATGTTGGTGCTACAATGAGAACTTTGTGACTTTATCATAGAATATATGCTCATAATACATAAAAGGATATTTCAGAGAATAATACTATCTAGTACATATTCTGAAATTATTATAGTAGATTCTTGATGTTATTTCTATATATCTTTGAGAATGAAATCCCAGCTTCAAAGCATGGATAAATCTACTTCAGACTACATGCCAGTGATGCAAACAGTTAAGATGTCATTGAGAGGAATGCATGATAATATCAAGTCACTTGGATCTTGAAAGTCAGAATTTGGTCAATAATAGTCTCTACCTGTAACTTGAGATACTGTCAGGGGACTTGCATTCTCAACCTCCACAACCTGTTCCAGCATCTCTGCAGCTCATTTGATGTTTGCAGGGCTTGTTCCCGAGCCACAGAGATCTCCAGAGAACTGCAGAGCTCTCAGTATTATCTCACTGATCATCATCCTAGGGTTAGGACTAGCTCCAGCTTTCTGTACAGTAGTTTCCACACCTCTGCCACCCACTAATGTGCTGCGCCAAGCAGTGGGGATCCTTAGACTTGTTCTCTTTGGATTCTCCTATGCTAGGTGATTAGTTATTGCTTGTATCATTGTCTACTTGCTCATATACTTTGGATTCCCTTCTGCTAGCTGCATGACTCTAATCCACTACTCTGGAGGTCACTGTAAGGGGATGACCCCTTTACAGGTAACTCTGACTCTATCCAGCCTTAGTCATAGGTATAGCATCTGTCAGGTTCCGCTGACCTCGGGGGCTCAGCTGCACTGGGCAAGTCCTTACTAGGTGGGCGTGATCCCCTTGCACTGGTAACCGAACACTCAAAGACGTTCCGGGCCCTGGTGGCTTGTGCAGATAGTTGGGGGGATGTGATCCAGACAGATCCGGGGAGGTCCGGAGAAGTTGGATTGTGAGGAAACGAGACGGTCTTGGCGGGGTTCAGGCAGAAGGCCATACGGGAGATTCACGGAAGCAAAGGATTAGGCAGCTGTGTGATCAATGGGAGCGGAGCCGGGTTTTGATGGGAGATCATTTGGAGCTGATGGAGTCCGGGACCAAGCAAAGAGCAAGGTTCGGACCTGGTAAAGGAGTGTCGGGGTTTGTAATCGTAATTGCGGAGTTTGTGAGGTCATTAAGGTTGATGAAGGCTTGGGCACAATGGTTGGACGGAGTCACTGAGACAGTGTCAGGCGAAATGGGATGGGGTTGATATGGGACAAGAGTAGATTCGAATAGAGATACAAAGCGATAACGAGAATGATAATGAAATGGAGACGAGACAAGACCGGGAGACTGAGATAAGACCGGGAGACTGAGATGAGACTGGGAGACTGAGATAAGAAAACGAGACACAAGACACGAAACAATCAGACCATAAGTAACGTTAAGCAATATCAAGACTAGAGTACGAAGAGCTACTCAATGACTTATATACTGACTACCGGAGGACTTTGGGGTACGTTGGCTGTGGCGGCGGGGCTTGGTGGAGCTCGACGGAGGGGGCGGGTGTCAGTTGTGATCAAGGATCGTGCTGCGCTGATATGTTGATGGGATCATTGGAGAACGCAGGTTGCCCCGAGGTTGTCGTGATACTCCGGAATAGGTCGGAGGAACCAGGGTGTTGAGTCGATGATGGGTGGCGAAGATCGGGAACAGCGGGGGTGGTTCTCGGGGTTCGGGAGGCCCAGGGTAAGTGTCAGTGGCTGCAGGGCAGGCACCGAAGTTGGCCAGGGGGCCGTCGGAGTTAGCCGGGGAGGC